TCACTGTTTATGCCAAGTGTAGCTCAAAATTAAACGAAGGGAGAATTTACGCAATAGTTAAAATTCAGAATTTTTTTCTGTGTAGACGCAATGTCTAGAGTCGTGGAAAACCACATAATTGTCCCTGATGATAGCAGAATATGGATGAGGTGGTAGCAGCAAAACGCCGCTGGTGTCAATGGTGTGGTCAACCTCGAGTTGATAAACTTGAGTGTTGACTTCTTCGCAGACAAGTGCTTGGAACTTAGCTACTTCTCGGCATGCATGAAGATAGCCAAAGTAATCCCAATCAACAAGCTTGATAAAGATCCTATAAATGCCAAAAGCTATCGCCCCATCAGCCGTTACTCAGTGTATACTCAGCCGTTTGCTGGAATTCTCAAATGTAAATAACATTTTCCTCAATACGGAATTCGGGTCTAGGAAATGTCACACTACCATCCACCAACTGGCACGGGCTACTAACATCATCAGGCGGAACAAGTCCGTTTCCAAGTCATCTTCCATGGCATTATTGGACATTGAGAAGGCGTTTGACAATGTCTAGCATGATGGCCTAGTGTACAAGCTGCATCGATACATCTTCCCGATCTTCCTTGTAAAGATCATCAAAAACTACTTGTCGGACAGATCCTTCCAAGTCTCCTTGAACAACTCACCATCTATACGTTCGACGTTGACGCTGGGGTTCCCCAGGGTAGCCACCCAACTCCTATCTTCTTCAACATCTTGACTACCTCTCACTCCAAAGGTACTGGGTGCAATCCAAGTCAGCGCCATCGTGATTTTCTGAGGCATAAAATCTCTGATCACGCCTTCCTTCGGAAGGGAAGTAAAGCCGTTGGTCCCCGGTTCATGAGTTGATGGGTCGATAGGTAGGGTCCAGGTGTGGGAGCTGCCTCCCTGGCGTCGGTAGCATTGGTGCTCAGGACGGTAAATAAAATTGACAGAAAACAAATCAGGGAAAAACTGTAATATATGAAAGAATTTGTGGTCGTGACATAATATGAACCTGGATTGTCATGAGCAGTGTTGGAAAAATCATTTTCAAAAAAAGTTCTATCACAGCTCATTGCAGAGATAAATCCCAAAGGAACTTCTCACAAAAAGTTCGCGAACGAGAGATGATAAAAAGTTCATGAAAGCGTAGAGCGAGAGAAATTTTCATTTCGTATCGCGAAAGATCTTTCGTCTCTCCATCTCACATCATTTCACACGTACTCGTGATTCGAACCAACCAAATATCCCCTCAGCTTTGTTCTTTTTTTCCAGCGAGTAAAGGTAGGCGATGATCATGCGAGAGTGTCTGTTTGTTTTCTTCTCGTTCTCCGATATTTTTCGCATCCTTCACGTTAAATACCATTTCCAGAGAACTTTGAGATTTGGGCGTAATTGCTTTTGTAAACAAACACGTCATTCAGCGATTTCTCACGAATCAAAGCACAATCTAGCGAACTATACTATACCAAATGAATCATTCCTCTACCTGTCTGTGTTGTTAGTTTTTTAGATTGAATTGTGTTAGATTGTGTGTTTACAAAAGAAATTACGCCCTAATCTCAAAGTTTTCCGGATTTATTTATAGTTTTAGTTCTCAATGCAACCAGCTAATAGTAGATACTTGTAACCAGTGCTGTAAATTTTCATATCATTCGATTGAAGATGAACCACTACAACCATTCACAGAATTGTGTAAACGAATTCTCACATGACCATAATTTGAAGAGCCCCTTTCTCATTCGAAGCACATTGTCACTGTCAATTGAGTCACTCAGTAACATTTGATATACGACAGTGGAGTATGGAAGAAATCCAGGAAAATGGTCCCGAACAGACAAGTCGACCCGATGTCGGATCAATGTAAGGCTAATTTAAGGTCGATGTCGACCCAATGTCGTGTTAATGTCGGGTCAATTTTGGGTTTATGTCGGGTCAATGTCGGGTCAACATCGGGTTGGGGTTTGATAGAAGTCAGGTTGGTGTCGGGTTGGCTTAGCTTTTTCGCCGGAATGTCGACCAGAGCTCCGTTTGTGTGTAGGTTACACTCAATCGAATGATATATAGCGTTTCTCAAATGAGAATGATCCATGCCTTCGTCAAATGACTAAGCAACTGATATCACCCATTCGGAGGAGGTCCCCTTTGATAGCGAATAGCTACTTTTCTCATTTTCATCAAAAATGTTCAAATGATTTTGAGAATTTACAGCACTGGTAATAGCACAGTGAAAAAGTTCACCACCACCTATATTCCCAACCATCCCCCTGCATATAATTATTGCATAAGAGCTTACAGGAACGATATTACGAACACTAGTGATGAGAGGAGCCATGCATTAACTGTATTTCGTGAAAATGAGGATACATTAGGCGCTCCTCCTTCCGCAACCCCCTATCCTGAGGAACGGTTTTAATATAAAAATTGCTAGTCACAAAATCTTACACTACCCTTCCCGTTCCTCGTTAATGTCGCGTTGACACTTGTGCTGATTCATTCATTTTTTTTTGCCAGAAACCAATGCACCAATCAATCAGTTGCACAAAACTGTTCACATCATCCCGATAACGGCTACTTTAAACAACAGGCGCCAGTAGACAGCCAGGTACCAGACTTATCAGTCTTTAGAGATTGTATTGATTTACTCGGGATAGCTTTCTGTCTATAATCTTTTCCTTGTGAAATGTGCAGTGCAATTTTCAAGAACGAATGTGGTGTAAAGAGATAGAGAGAAAAAATGATCTGATATTTTTCGTATCCTTACGTTGGTGATTCGAATTAAAAAAGTTCGCGATATCTCATTCTCTCATCCCAGAAAGTTCGCTCAGGAAATATTGGAGTGTGAAACTAGTGAGGGAAAGTTCCCAAGAGAAAACGTATCGCAAGCGAAAATGATATTTTGGTGAGAATTCCATCACTGGTCATGAGCAGGGGTGTAAACGGTTGACGTTTTTTACTACACTTGCTTCGTTGTCGTGCGTGACAGTCTGTTTGTCTTCGTACTCTCAACCTCTGCCGTCGTCTCTCTTACACAACACAAACGGTAGAACAACGTTCGAGCAAAAAGAAAACTGTCATATGAAATGTGTGATTTCGTTCTAGTTTCTCAATTTGGTGTAAATTAAACCATTTCTGATCAGAAATGTTATTACTAGGACACGGGTTGCTTGCTATTTTCAGAATTCACAGAATCACAACATCCGCAGCCCTTATTATGAGAAAAATTAAAACACATACATTCGAGACGGTCCTCGGCGACAGTGTCGTATGACAGAGCCTGTCATATGACATTTTAGAGCGATACTGTAATTTGATAGCTTGTTTTGCAAGTGTCGGAAGCAAAGGTAGTCGATTATCACAGAAAATGTGTCGACTACGGTGACCGCTTACAAGACTGGTCATGAGACTGTTCTCTGAAAGATCTGGAACATCCGCAAAAGTGATCAATTATTGATGTAACTGATCCTAGAGTTCCGCGTTTTGTTGAATACACTTGGAATATATTAAATCGAAATTTTCAGACATTTCAGGCAAATTATTTTACAATTTTTTTCGAAAGGCCATATTGTTGTACCACTTTTTTGTTGAACCACAAAGCGTTGTGACATAATAACATTAACTGTCATTCTGTCTATAACGTACAATCTGTATTATTTGAAACTTATAAAATAAAATAATACAAACTTCAAAACCATAAAGTTGTAATGACTAATGAAGAGATTTATTTGATTAAAATCAACAGTCAGGCCAGCTACCAGCACTCAAATCCAACTGAATTGAAAAATACGTTCGACCACAACTCCAACTCTGCAGCCCTGGTTTCAAGTCAGATTTAGTCTCATGGCCTATACAATCCAGAACATGTCCCGGCCATATCTACGGAACAAGTTAACCGATTCCAAAAATATGTATGAGACCATTACACCTTTCATTTGGTGCGCTTATTGAGTTCAATTGTGTGTAGTGTCATAAAAACATTGACTTGCATATTGCTACAAAAGAAACAAGTTCTTGATTGATGTTCTTTATTTTCACCAAATTTCACGGCATTTCACAGAATTTAGGGAATTTCGCGGTCATAGCCAAATTCCCCTGGATTCGCTACACGTTATGTTAGGTTATTTGTAGTTAAGTAGGTTATCAATTTTGTTGTTCAAATCAATCAAATTATTTGTTTATTATAATCATGATTCATCTGAGAATTGTTTGTCTTAATAAATAAACATAATTACGCCTCTAAAGGGGAATACTGTAAATTACTTTCTAAATGAAAACGTAAAACATATTACTAGAGCATGAATCAATGATGAAGAGCCTTCAGACTAAATCAACGACCAATGTTTGGACATACATGTTATTCAGTGCAGTCCATGATTGTTGTATTGAATACCGAACCGGAAACCTTAAGCCATCGTATTGAATTAAATTGTTGTTGTGCTTTTTATTCTCCTGAAAAAGCCATGAAAAAACTATGTCTAATTAATGACAGTTAAGCTGTGTTTCCGAGGAGTTCCTTCAGCCGAAAAGAATTTACATACAGTCCACCAGTTCCTGGTGAGCGAACCGAGGCTCATTACAATCACCCCTTCAGGTGAAGGAGTTGGCCGCTGTCGAAGGGATAATCCGATATTCCGTCGGGTTCCTGTACCACCTCAATATGTAGAGTAAAACGCCCGGATCGTTTCCTATCGAATTTTACAGACAAAATCCGTTTCCTTCTTGGAATGCAGCAACATTCACTAATCCTTATACAAGCATCGGAGAAGGTTGAGTTAACCCATCGCTCTTTCTCGGATCAATCTAACCTATCACCTTCTTTTTCGGGAGATTGGTATGGCTAAAAAAAACCTTTTAAGAAGGATAAGCAAAGGTTGGTGCACCTAATTATTTATCATCTAAATAAACCGAGCCTGAAGTGTTTGCTATGAACTACGTTTCAATTACGACGTGATTATGCGTTAAGTGCTTGATATCGGCAGTATCCAGATATAAAATCTCAATAATTATTTATCAGTAAAAGATAGCAGAAGAGCGACATAAGATCCAGCAGAATTGAGAATCTGTGAAAACAAAGCAAAAATACTTTTCAATGACTCAGTAACGCAACCATATGTTTACCACTTACAGCTCTCAACGTCGGTAGTGACGCTACCATGAACCCAACTTTCGTATTGACTGGAACTTGAGCTCTCATTAAACAATGCAGCAACAGTTTCCTCGTCTTGGGTGAGGACTCGTACCAGTTGCTACAGTAGATGGAATTGCCTACCGATTCACTCTGTAAACAGATGTATGTACCGGATAGCATTAAACCACATGTTTGATTCATAGTATTTATACCTCGTGAGATAGAAGTGATCCGTAGTAAGCAAAGAAAGTAATTTGAATCACAATTGCCGTCACATACATCAGGTAAATCAGCATCAATGAGGATCCTAGGAACATTACAAGTTGGAATCCGAGTACACACAACAATACTGAAGCGACTAATAAATTGTTAATTATTATAACTCTGTAGATTGACATTATCTTCCGCGATAGACAGAGGAGCAATGCATGATACTCTATCAATTTCTTCAAATTATCATCGTTATCGGTGAAACTTGTATCCTCAAAACGTTTTTGGAGCAACTTGAAATGAACCACCACATTGGAAGCCAGTCCTCCAAAACTGGCATCACTGGACACACAACACAAAACTACCATATAAATTGCGGCACTAGACCAAATGAAGAAAATTCCAAACACAACAGGATGGCTCGTATCGAATGGAAAGCTATTCAGAGAAGATAATTTCATTAGAGAATTGTTAAAACACACTCACAAGGCAAACCTGAGAGCAAGTGGAAAATTCCATTCAATGCAACGATGGAAAATCATTTTGTAAAATCCTTTCAATAAAGCCGCAACGATGAACAATGATCCAGTTGCTGACGCTGATGTAAGATAAGCCGTCGCCAGATACCCATCAATTTTATTGTTTCGCTCAATCAATTCGATTTCATCAGCCCTAGCTAGAAGTTTTAAAGGAAAGGAAGAAGTTAAATTTAACTGCATTCACGTGCCAAATGCTCACCATATTGCTTGAGCCGTCTTAGCATCTCAATGACATTCCACAGCTCGACTTGATGAACGCTGAGACAGTATTGCTTCACGATCCCCAAGTAGGCGGTAAACGTTGGCCCCAAACAGTCGCACACGAGCGCAATATCGTTGACATGCTCCAAGGCAAAGAAAATCGTCGCCAAATCCATAATCACCATCGAGATAAAACAAACGTGGAAAATCGCTTTGCTTGACACAGTTTCATGTCTCTGTACCCCAATCAGGGCTAGACATAAAAGCTGCACCCGGAGAAAGTTTTCACGGCCCCAGCCCTTGAAGACGGCCATTCTTTGTCTCTGCACTGCTGTCGGAAACACTCTACTCTTTCTCTCTTGACTCTATGTTCGACTCGGGAGCGTAGCGGCTGGGACATTGCTTTTATATATTGGCCGTCGTCGTGGTGAATCAAGGGCAGTGTTCTTGGGTGTACGTGAGAAATTAGGACACAGACGACAGTCCTTTTCGACAGCATATAATTGCAATATCAACCTTGAACAGTAACGGACGTGCTTTAAAACTTTTATGGGGATTGCTAGGGCTTTTCTGGCATGAGATCTGACTATTAATTTTTCAGGCTACAAGAACTGCCCTTGGAATTCATGAAGAGAAGGTTTTCTCTTAATAATCGATTAAGTTTCTCAGAAATTTTTATTTATAGGATTCCTTTTCTAATTCTAGATAGCGTCGATATGCTTGCAATTCCTGTTCAATTTTCGGTTGGAATAGTATTGGAATTTTACATTAAGAGTGTTGAACGGAATGTTGAATGTTGACGTGAATATTGACGATAACTCCTTTGACTTTTCCAAAGCACAATTTGATGTGTCTATCTTAAGGATTTCAAAACGGGTAGCTGCCTTCCATCCCAACAGATTAGCGCCACTCTCCTCAACAATATAGACTGGCAGAGGTCTTCATCGTAGATACCGTCATAGTGTATGTGCACGGTGAGTCGATTGTTCCCGATGCCAAAAGCTTCTTCATAACTTGACGGGTCTGTTGGTCAGCCGGTTGAAATTTCGGGACTTCAGATACTCCCTCGTCGATTCACTAATTACATTTAAAGTTCTGTCTGAATCCGGAATCACTTATTGTGTTGCAGCGGCATGGAAAGTGACCGCTGCAAGAATTATTTTACAGCGGTTTGTTCACCTAGGCGCCCACGTTCTGTGGTATAAATTTCACGGTGTTTCGTGCAGTGAGTCAAAAATTATTCCAGATGGAAGCCGAGAGGAGAGAAAAAATCTGTACACCCACGTTGATAATCCAACGTGGTCCGCAATAAAAATCGCAAAAACATTGAAAATCGCCAAATCAACCGTGTATGATATGCTCAAACGTTTCAGGGAGCGAAAGAGCGTGGATCGAGTGCCTCAAGGTAAGCGTCGTAGTGGAACATATGACCGAAAGCTGAACCAGAAGGTGTTGAGAACCGTCAGAGCAAACCCTGGACTATCAGATAATGAAATCGCACAAAAATACGTACCGTTCGAAGAATTCTTTTGCGAGCAGGATATCGTTCTTATCGAGCCAGCAAGCAACCAAACAGAACGTTGAAGCAAAGTTTCGTCACCAAAACTCGAGCTCGGAAATTTTACCAGCAGGTTTTGGCGAAGTACCAAGGATGTCTGCTCATCGACGATGAAATCTACGTCAAAATAGATTTCGGACAGCTTCCTAGCCAAAAATTCTACATGGCGACGGCACGAGGAGATGTTCTTGCGAAGTTTAAGTTTGCTTTTATGGACAAATTTGCCAAAAAACTTTTGGCAAGGGATATGCAGCTGCGGAGCAAAGACCAAAGTGTTCGTGACGAATAAGACGATGGACTCGAAGCTGTACAAGGAAGAATGCCTCAAAAACCGCGTACTACCTTTCATTAAAGCCCATAAAGGTCCCGTGAAGTTTTGGCCAGATTTGGCGAGTTGCCACTACAGCCGGGAAGTCATCCAGTGGTATCGCAATAATAACGTAGATTTCATCGATAAAAACATAAATCCACCCAACTGCCCGCAGTTCCGGCCCATCGAGAGATTTTGAGCAATAATGAAGCGGAAGCTTAAGAAAAGTGGAAAACGGCTCGGGACGCGATTCAGATGACCAAAATGTGGAACAAATGTGCCAAGGAAGTTGACTCCGGAGGTGCGCAGCGTTTGATGGGAGGAATAAAGAAGAAAGTTCGAATTTTCATTAGAAACGAAGAGAAATGATTTATTTTAATATTTTTTCCCCAAAAGTACAGTGAATTAGCTTTGTTGTGATGTATTAACCTTATTTGTACGTCAATCCGTTACCGAGATACAGATGATTTTATTATTCCGGTTTCTAAATGGACATAGCTTTACACAGGCTGCATTTACTAGCTAGGCCAGTTTGACTCCCTCATCCCCTGACCCCCGAGACTCCGTTACTAGTGTCGGGATTAGTTGCAAACACATAGTTGACGCTTTCAGCTCACTATTAGAACCATCACTGTTTTTTTCTGTTGTACTTTGTTCCTACGATGATTCACTGTTTAGAGTGTTGGAAGAATTCCTTTGCATTACTTATCAGATTTTTTTTTAAATTACTCTCAGAATTATTTTCAGACATTACTTTCTCCTCAAAACTTGGATGCAATTGACCTCTGAATTTCATTGGGATGCTCTTCAAAATTCCGTTGAAATATTTCAAATAATTCGCTAGGAATTCATTTCAAAATTTTTATCGAAACTTCTCCAGCTTCTTTTCGAATTTACACAAACACCCGTTGATATTTTTTCAAAATGATGGAATTCTCCCTGGGACTTTCATTTTCTCCTTGCATTCCACATGGAGATCATTTTAATCTACAGACACTCCTCTAATTAAGGCTGCTCTAAAATGCATAAGGGAATTTTTAAACGCCCATATAGTTTACTATGCGCTCATGTGAGGAAAATTTCGTTGCAAATATATAACATAAGAAATATTATGTCTTCATCCAGAGTTAATTTTCACCCTTCTATGTGGAATGGAAATATTTCCAATTAAAAGATTAACGTTTTTGAAAAACAAAATACGTCTTCAAATGAGTTGTGAGAAATTTTCTGCATCCGTCAAATATAAATGTGTATGTATCTATCAGTTATTATTACTTGAGATGCCTCACACACACACATAATTTTTTATTCAAGTTTGCTCATGTGCTCCTAGACGGGATTGATGGTTCAGAACACCGATTGCCTGCTAAGCGAGTAGAAGGTTGTGAGTTTGATTTCAGGTTCCATCCATTTGAAAGAATTGCAAATTTAACAAATTGCCAATAACGTATCCTATGTATGCTTATTCTTTCTACTTACTTTCAGTCTTCTCATTACACTTATGAAGGATCGTTTGGGTGAGTAGTTACACTAACATCAGGAAAAGTCACATAAACTTAATAGAAGTTCCTAGAAATTCAGGGAAGTCCTGAAATAACTAAGAAATCTTAGATATCTATATGGAAGTTCCGAAAACTTGAGGAAAGTCAAGATTTGTTTGTGAAATTTGAGAGATCATTAAGGGTATGTTCCAAGAGCCTCCCGGAGCTCAGTTGGTAAGGTCGCAGCTACAAAGCAAGACCATGCTGGAGGTGGTTGCGTTCGATTCCCGGTCCGGTCTAGGAATTTTTCAGATTGGAAATTGTCTCGACTTTCCTGGGCATGATTGTACTTGCCATTGGAAAATTGCAGGGGAATTACAGATGTTCCACGAACAAAGAAGAAGATTGACCGAAAACGTTAAAAAAAATGTGTGGATTTTTAGGGAGGAATCATGAACTTCAAAGCATTTTGCGGAACTGCAGAACAATTCCATGAACATCAGAAAAATTGCGATCCGGGAAAATAATTAGAACCTTCAAGAAGGTCTGAGAGATTTATGGATGCTCCAAAGTTTTTTTTTTTTTTTTTTTTTTTTTTTTTTTTTTTTCGAAGAAGTTTTGAAAACATCAAGGTAGTCATAGATTTAAAAAAATCTTTCAAGAAAGTTCCATTAACTCCTGGAAAATTTCAGGAGCTTTACAGAAGATGCCAAAAATTCATTAATGTTTAAAGATCGTTTGGAAAGTTACGTAACATTAGGAGAAATTCTGAGAACTTCAGAGCAGAAAGCTTTAATAATAAGTATAAGGAACATTTCGGAACATGAAAAGTAGTTTCACTATTTTTTGTAAAATAGTATAGCCCTTCAAACATAATCGAGAATTTCAGTGAAACGTTTGGAGAACTTCTGATTTTTTTTTAAACATCGCCAGAGTACCAAGAAATTCACGTAAGTCTAGACAACTTTAGCGAACTAAGGGATCTTAAATGTAAATCCATCAATTTCAGGACAGTAGGAAAACAAACATTGAAGTCCATAAAACTGCACAGAACAATAGCTTCAGCAAGCATAGAAATATTTAACGCAGTTCCGACAACTTCAGGGAAGATTTTTCTCGCTTTGTTTGTTTTCTGTACTGTGTACCAATGCACAATCACACCTGGACCATACCTATCGATTCATCAACCCATGAACCAACGGCTTTACTTCTCTTCCGAAGAAAAAAAATGTGTGATCAGAAATTTTATGCCTCAGAAAATCCCGGCAGCGTCGACTGGGATTGAACCCAGCCTTTTGATGTAGATTAGTAGATTAAGTAGATTGTAGCAGCAGTAAACTTCAGAGCAGTTTTGATATCTTTATGAATATTGCAAGAACTCAGGAATGATCGGAGAACTTCAAGACAGTTTCATGAGTTTCGCAGAACTGATCAAACATTTAGGATGTTCCGAGACCTTCAGGGTAGTTCAGAAAACTCCAGAGAAGTTTGGAAGGTTTAAGGGTGATTTATTAACTTTAGCAAAGTTTCGTGGGTTTCCCGTGATGGACATACCGAAAATCAGATCGACCACATCTGCATCAGCCGAAAATGGAGCCGGAGCCTTCTTGATGTCCGGAATAAACGCAGCGCCGACATCGCGTCTGACCATCACCTTCTAATCGGTGAAAACCGCCTACGTATGGCGCGGATCCAGCGACGGGAGGAGAGACTCGGGTGGTGGTTCAACACACGCCGACTTGAAGATCCAGCGGTAAAAAGGTCTTTTGTTGAAGAACTTGAGACTCGATCTGCGGACGTTCCAGAAGGTGGCAGCGTAGAAGAACAATGGACGGCCATCAAGAATGCCTTTATAGAAACAAGCGAGAACAACTTGGGTGAGCTGCGTACCCAGAGGAAAGAGTGGATCACAGATGAAACCTGGCGGACGATTGAGGAGCGTAGAGAAGCAAAAACCGCGATAGA